CACACACACACAATAAAAGATAATTAAAGTCAATTCAATGTTGCTTTTTTCACACCAGAATAAAAAAATTACTGAAAAATTCCAACTTAATTGTTTTGGCTTGAAAATGAACCAGCTGCCACAAGACAAATGCAATGAATACAGTGACTAGGAAAAAAAACAATAAAAATATTTCACCTTTTAAGCTTTCTGTTTGGGGCCAGATAAAATGTTAACGAAGGCCAGATTTGGTCCGTGGGCCTTGAGTTATACACATGTAGTCCAAACTGTTTCCACAACACATTTTAGCTCAGTATCTTTAAAAAATGAATAAAATAATGACAAGTGTTCTGTTTTATAATGTTACTTTAATGTATTAGACATTCTGAAAGTTATTTCAAAAAATTAATCAGATTTAGATTTCTTCTGGAAAAAAATAGATGCACAAATGACCTATTTAATGTTTAAATCATTGTAATGTATTTAAGCAATGTGTAGAGTGTTTTCTGTTTTTGTAAACTGTGGTGGGAGCCAAAATATTCACGATAAATAAATATTTGTGTCCTGATACCAGAATTTTTACAAGTATTTGTAGAAAATGCCCTGATACTCAGGAGCGATACAAGTATTTGATACTCAATTTAATGTTTTAGAGTTTACATTTCAAGTAAAAAGTTTGTCAGTTTCATGTTTAAGAAATGTATACAAGTTGAAATAAAATCTTATTTATACATTTTTTTTCTTTTAAAATGTTGCACGCTGTCTATTTGATTTGACACAATCAGAGGCCTATAAAGAGGGAGAGCTGCCTTATTCTAAATTTTAAAAAGTGTTTTTAAAGTCATTGTGTAAAGTTTAAGTTTAAGTCTACCTACTGAAGTACACCGACTCAGTTTGAGAAAACTGGTAACAGGAGACCCCTACATATTTCATATGTGTGAAACCTAACAAAATGTAAAACAGGGATGTTTCACAGGATGAACCATGTGTGAACATATTCAATCAGAGCCATGATTAGTAATTTTATACTTTGTATTATTTTACAGGCTGTGACAAAGAAAATAGGTGTTTCCAGAAGTGTTTCTTAAAAAAAGAATAAAAGTTAGCATCTACACGTTTCAATAGAACTCTGGAAAAATGAGCTTTGTTTAATGTGTTTACAAGGTCGTCTCTCTCCCTCCTCTCTCATCCCGTTCTCCCCTCACAGCCGTGCCAGCCTGAATGCCAAACTGGACGAGACTGTGCCCTTGAAATGTGACGAATCCTACATCACCCCGTCCATGGTCAGCCTGTCTGCCCCGGTGGTGACCTCAGCAGACGAGGACGCCTCCACCACCACAGCGTACTCTCAGAGCAACATTGTCCGAGTATCTGCCTTGTAGATGTCACGTCTGTCTGATCTGATCAGCTAACTGGTCTCAAGTCGCACCAGATGCTGAGGAGAGGGACCACCGAGCATCAACCTGCCATAATCAAGAGGGATTATAAGATTAACAGAGGTTGGATTTTTTTTCCTCTTCTTTTTTTTTCTCCTGAAGTAGAAAATTTCATCTGATGTCAAACTCTGCATGGTATTAAAAGCGGTGTGGACAGCTGCCCTACAAGCGAACCAGCAGATCTTGCTTCCTTAAGCACAGCCGAACGGAGGGAAGACTTTGGGATTTCATGATCATCATTGTTGCCTAAAATAATGAAGAAAAGAAAAAAAACTTTATTTTTGAATAAGTAATGTAGTTGTATTTGTTGTCTCTGACTCGAAGGTGGAAAAGGCAGATGTTTAGAGATCATTCCCAATGGCCTCTGATAACAAAGCACATGTTTTCATCGTCTCAAGGCCATCTTTGTGAATAATAAATCAGCTTTGATTCCACATTCACCTCACCACTTGGTTAAACAAGATTGTTTTGAAACTCTTTAATTAAATGCTTTATCTTCCCTCCTCCTCCTCTTCCTCTCGCTGTTGTAAAGTCTGAAAACTTACATCCGGAGGAATGGCCAAACCGTTGTGAATATTCATTTACTGACTCATGAACTAGTTCGATGTCATTGCTTGGTGAATAAAACACACACTGCTCATCCTGACATGTTTGTGAAAATGTGCAAAGTGAAAGTCAAATGACCAAATCTGTGTTAGAGTACATTTTTGACATTCTGGATCTGTGTGAAAGCCGCTGTCGTTAGTTAACAATTGTTATTGATAACTATACAGGGTATTCATTAGTTAGGGCACAAGTGAAAACATGGGTGTTCTCGGCGACTAATAGTAATCTCGATGTAGATGCATACGGTAGCACTGACCCCCCGGAAAAAACTTCCGCAAGAACTCCAGTGGCTTCCTTACAAACGACATGGCTCAGAAGCAAGACGTCATTGTGTTAAAGCACCATTTTGTATATTTTTCATACTGTAAATATCTGAGTTAGGACTTTATCAAATGCATTCAAAGTTGGCTCCTCTTATTTCTAGATTTAGTTGTCGGCGAAACTCTTTCTGTCTGTTAACTGGTTGAATTAATGATTTGCATGCTGTCATTTTGTTTTGATTAAAGTATGTCTCTGCTCATTGTGGGAGGTTTGCTGGTTAAAAAATATGATAAATGAAGGGAAACATGAAGTGTGTTCTGATTTACACTCTGCAACCCTGTTTTTAATGAAATCTTGTCACGGACAGCTTGTTTGAAAGCAACACTTCCTATTTTTTTTCTTAAGTGGGATTCTGTGGAGAAGCTGTGAGCAGTAAATGTCTTACCTGTTGAGGATGACTCATTGAACGGCCTCAATTTAGAGAGATAATTTGATTTGGTTGGGACTGATGAACTAATGCAAGTCAAAGTGATGCTGAGACTAAAGCTGACTGCTGCTCTCATAAAACTCTAGTCATAATCATAGAAGTTCATTCAAACATCATTTCTGAAACCTATACATCAATGTCAGTTTTGCATTACAGTTATTTACATAAAATGTTGGTTATTTGTAAGCACAAATAACATCAGCAGCATCTACTGTAGCACTTCCACTGCAACTTGAGGCACCTTCTGTCATATTTCTGCCAGAAAAAAACGTGTAAAACAAAACAGGCAGCAGTAAAGGTTTATTAAATATGAATGCATGAACCTCTTCAAACTGTTTGAGATTTGAGTCATTTTGAAGCAGCAGCTTTTCACTTTGGTCTTGGCCCCACTCAGACTAACCGTCAGCCACGCTTCCTTTGTTTTGTCCCCCACAATGGCAACAGCCGGCTGCTGACAGACACTCTGTGGTGCGTCGTCAGGCAATGTTTATTGATGCTGTTCAGTTTTTAAGCTTTGCCACTCCTGAAAAAAAAAAAAATCCACACTGATGTTAACCTTCCTTCCTGCATAGACAGCCTGGTTACTGTAGCTTTTCGTTTATGCTTTCATCGATATTTCTTCCTCTCTTGTTTAACTGAAGCAACATTTCACATCAAAAGTTTAAAAAATGGATGAAGAAAAATTCATTTTTGAGGCTTAGAAATATCCAAACATATACGACCCAGAATCTCATCATCATACTGAGCCTGTCGGTGACGTTGGATTAAAAAAAATTAATGCATGGCCACGAAATAGTAAAAGCATGGCCACATGATAATTATTGCTGTCATTTTTATGCAGATGGACAAATTGGAATTAATTTATTTTAATTTCAACACACGTCAGTCACGTGCATGGAGTAATTCTTAGCATCATTTCTTGCAGCTATAAAACACAGGTAACGACTGGAGTTGTCTTTGTCCAAAAGGTTTTATTTTTTTAAGCTCAACACTTAAACAGACCCCTCTCTCACCCCATGTCTTTGCTGTGGAAACAGTCAGAGTTATGTAACCTTCAGGAACACTGAAAAAAACCTTTTCCTGAGGTCGTTCAATGTCATCTTGTAAATTCCATTTAAAATGAATCATTTAAACTGAACCATGGAGGTATACTCTTTGGATTAAACAAACACTAAATAATAATAATGATAATAAAAAGTGTGGGATACCTTTGAACAGTTGAAAATAAATAGTGTATTCTCTGATTTCAAAATTGCTGTATCTCTCACAAAAGGCTCTTTCCAAAGACACTTGGTACCTTTACTAACACGTGTTCTGACAAACTTGGCCCATTCAGAAGACAAACAGAGGTGGAGAGGGGGGACAGAGACACCCTCCATCTATTACGCCTCTTAACCAGGTCATTTATTTATTTTTTTGCCTTTGTCTTCATAATGATAAAGTGTGACGATGAAATAATAACATGTGGCCATGAAATAGTAACTCATGGCCACACATTATTATTTCTTGGCCACACATTCTTTTTTTTTTTTTATTCAAGGGCACCGGACATGCTCTATCATTATGAGGACAAAGGCAAATTAAATAAATAACTTACCTGTCAATACACTGCTTAAGAAGTTGGGGTTTTATGATGAGAATAAAACAAACAAAAAAAATCAAGCTAATATTTTAAAACCGATCTATGTTTTCACAGTGCACTTCAGCTTGATGCTTCCTATAATACGTTTCAGTGGCATTAATTGTGCTTCCAATGACGCACTGCGCCACGGTGTTCTCAGTGTGTTTTTATCTCGAGTTGGTCCAAAGAGCAAATACCATTTCTGTTCATAACTTTTCCACAGAAACCCACTTCAAAAAGTGTGACCTATCCCTTTAAGGGTAAGGCAACAAACACAGATTGTGGATTTGGTGCAGTGGACAGAATAAACGCTGTAGCTCTACTGAAGCATCCATAAAGCAACCCGTGTCTTTATTATTATTTTTGACTACAACATTATTATGAGGATTTAATCATGTTTTGTTTTTGGTTTTATCCCTGAGTCAGAGAGGATTTGTTTTAGGAAGGTCTGGATAATGAGGTGGTGCAAGAAGGAGAACGTGTGAGGGCCTGACTTGCCCAGCGGTGGGTCCTGGCAGCAGGGCGTCTGGAGACACACAAGCTGGTCCCCTGAGTGATTGTTTGATGAAGACATAGCACCACCTCCCCCCACCCTCAACCCCCACGCCCCCATGCTGAGCTGATTGTGTTGGTCCAAGCAGCTCCGCGCAGCACGCGTCACCTCCGCTTGGCGGTGTTTAGCAGCTGCTGAGGAGCCAGCAGTCGTGTAGAAAATAAAAACTCACACGTTGACAAGTGGGGCTCAGATGTGTTAATTTCTTTTCCTCATGATGTTGATAACATTACCATTTTTAAAAAAATTTTGTATCAATAAAATGAAGCCTGTAGAGAAGGTGTTTTTAGCTCCTGGTGAATCTGGATTTAATCGAGCTCTTCAGTTTGTAAAACTCGGAGCGAAACTGAGGGTTGACTGCGGCGTATATTATCGGATCACTTAGCGATGTGATGCAGGTCACAGACACCGACAGGATCTCCAGGTCTTGAACGATCAGCTTCTGCAACAATAAATTTCTCAGTATGTGATGAAAATGAAAGTCAAGCGAGTTGTGCTCAGCTTTTATGTACTGACATCATCAAAACTGAACTTACCCGTGGAGTCCTGTTTTTGTGGACCACTAAGTTAACCAGGATGCTCGTGAGCAGAGGCAACCAGAACAACAGGAAGGTTATGATTATGTATCCTGCGCGCTTGGCCAATTTGCTTTCTTTTCTTTTCCTCACTCTCTCTTTACTTGCTTTTGAAGGCATGATGCAAACGGCGCCTTCTAACCTCATAGCTTCGTTATTTGGGTCTGGTTGTGGTGAAGGCATTTGGTCTACTACAGGAGCCCCCTGTGCTTCTTCTGCTCTGGTGCTGTTATTTACCTGCTTCAGATCAGTCATTAGGACGGAAGCAGCTTCAGGATCCTCTCTTTGTTCAGGCATTACAACCTGGGGTCTCGTCTCTTTGTATGCCGTGTCAGTTTTCAGGGTATCTTCGAACAGATTTTCAGTGTTCAAATTGGTTGACCCGTTTTGCATCGCATCGTTTGAGCTCGGAACGTTTGCGGCAGGGTCTTGATTTGATGCTTCTCTTTCAGTTTTCATGGAAATGGGGCTGCAGCTCTCTGCCTTTAATGGTTTCTCCTCGACTTGCCCTGCGAGAGGGTGGGGTCGATCTTTTTCCAAGTGACTCATCTCTGCTGGATTTTTAAATTCTGTTTCCCCCTCAGAACTGACAGATTCACTCTGTGGAGCTTCTCCCGAGGTCAGAGGGGATTTTTTCATGAATTGATTTGATCCAGGCTGCGTTTGAGCAACACTTTGGATCTGCTCGGGTTCGGTTTTTACAACAGTGGTTTCTGGGTTTTGCTTATTTTCTGCCGAGCCCTTGTTGGCAGCAGAAATGCCTTTGTCAAATATTTTGCGGTTGTGTGATCTCACTAAAGCAAATATGCGCATGTAGAATCCAGTGATGAGACCAAAACATGATGCCCACAGTGGGAGCAGCACGTAAAGTCCACTTGTGTCAAAGGAGGGGAATGTTCCTCTTTGCCAGCCTTGGCATCTAACGTAAACAGGTGAGTCTCTCAAAAATATCTGACAAAAAACTGCCACCAGAACAGCCAAGGTCCACGTGAGAGGAATCAGTGTCCTGACCCGTCTTTTTCGTTGTCTGGCTTCGAAGGGTTTTGCGATTGCCTGGTACCTCTCTGCGCTTATGCACGCTAACGTTGACAACTGGACGCAGCAGCTGAAAGAGAAAGAAGCCATCTGTGTGTCACAGAACAAACCGCCCACTCGTCCTCTTCGATGCACAGTCGTGATGATGTTCAACAGGACGGGGCAGTCGATTACGCAACGCAGCGCGTCAACAACCGCGAGGTTCACCACCAGAGCGTTGACAGAAGTTTGCAGGGACTTTTGATGACACACCGCCAGGATGACAAAAGCGTTCGCTGCAATCCCCACAACTGAAGTGATCAACAGAACTAAGCAATTCACCACGACGAGAACAACGTCAAAGGACTCCTCCCAAATGGTGATGTTCCCCGAGACCCCCACAGGTGTGGGCTCGCCTCTCATTTCCGAGTTCAAAGAGTCACCATGCTAATTTTTTTTCCCCTGTCTTTGCTCGGCACAGACGGAGCGAGAAAACGTCAAGCACACATCTCCGGCCACAGAGCATCTCCAGTGAATGAGTAATGGCTAAAGCTGCAGCTTGGACAGGTTCCTCTAAAGCACCCGCCCTTTTCATTATCACTCCACAGCACCAGCGGGTCACCTGGGAGTCCTCAGTGTTCACATTCATTAAAAACTCTGCAGTGTGTTCACAGCAGAGCAAACTGGGGGAACAAAAGAGGGCTGTTAATTGAATGGTCCTTGTGCCATCATTTTGTTATCCCTGACATATATGACTTTATAAAACTAAAGCAGTGATTCAGATCTGAAAGACTGTTTAGGGGATAAATTTGTACTGAGATAAACACATGAACAGCTGTCTGTTTCGTTTTATACAGTGCCTCAGATACAGGAGAAGCTTGGCATTGGAAATGCCACATGGATGAGCTTGGAGTTCTTGAATTGGCTCAGGAAAAGATGGGAGCGGTACTGCAGGATTATGGTGTGACATTGTGTAATCCTGTTTGGAGATAAAGTGTGAAATGCTTTTTTTTTTGCTTCAAACGTAGAAGCTTATGGACCATGATAAATCTGGAATTAGATTAGCACAATTATTTATCTTACTCCTGACCATTCTTAATACTGCGCAGAGAAAACATTTAGTGAAATGATATGGATAAAGAGATCAAAGTTTTGGAGAGTAAACTGCTGAACAACATATTCCTTTGGTTTCCGTCATCTTGGCACAAATCTAATAAGTCTGAACCCATAAAACAATCACTGCAACACAAAAACGTGGGTTACTAAAGTAAGCTTTCATTCAAAGAAAAGTATCTGGAACAATTTTAAGTCACGGCATTAGGTCAGTTTCTCACTGTGCTGCACCTGTTTGCAATCAGTTGTGATCGGAATTCACAAAGGAGATTCTAAAATGTCTCAAAATGTTCGTGAGGATTGTTCGTTTTGTGACAAGTTGCAGAGCTTTGCTTTTGTGTTGCTGAAGTTTTGGATTTACAAAGCAATGAAATTCCTCACATATGCAGCGAGTTGTTGCAAGCCCTTGAAGCCGGTCTCAAACCCTTCGCAGTTTAGTTTCTGTGTTTCAGAATATGAGAAAACTGTGGGGGAGGTTGAAACTGTGACTGATTGAAAAAAAAAAGCAGAATCAAAGAATATCAAAAGAAAATGACAAGAATACTTTGTGAATGAATTGCAATAAACTAATTTGCATAACATTTGTGTGATATCGACACGTCTGTGAACATCTCAAATTTTGTATCGGCAGTAATACTTCAGTTTGATTCCAAGTACAGTAAGTATGTACACATTGGGCCTCATGCAAGAACCGTTCGTACGCACAGATTTGTTCTTAAATTGTGCGTACGAGTGATTTAGGAGAATTTGTGGCATTCACCAATGTTTTCGTATTCTAAGATTTTCTTCAGACATGAAAATTCCCGAGTGGTCCAGACCTGTCGTATATTTTACGAGCAGTCAGTCTGCTGTTATCCAGGCTTATTTTCCTCCCTAATAAC